AAATTAGAAAACAGAAACGACGAAATGGAGAACGAGGACGTTGGCTGAGAACGATCAGCGCCGAAACGCACACTGAGGGCCCGCCAATGTCGTCTCATTGTTTTTAAAGTGTCCAACAGTCGTGACACGTACCAACCTAGCCACGGCAGGGGGGCTTAAGCGGACACCTGCACGGAGCTGTTCGTGATCAGGTGGCCATTTAGTATTTAATTCCCCGATCGCGTATAAGTTTCCACCAGAATCGTTTAAGACCAGCGCTTCCAGCGGATTATCGTTAAAATCCCGCGAATAATTAAATCGTGGACTTACCGCTTTGGAAAATGAATCGAGTATCGCACGTTAATTGGATTCGACGGCGGTTTTGCGACGATTAGCGAACGGGGGTACAACGGCGTTTCGTTTTATGGGGATCGTAATATCACGTTTGGTCCACTTAATTGTTTATTCGGTGTTTTAATTTTGGATGGTATTGGAAAACGTGTAATTATCAAGGAACTTTTTAAAAAAAAAATTTTTGTCTCCTTGATAGAGAATTTTAGAAGCTTTTTTGCTAGAATTGGAATTTTTTCCATATTTTGATGTTTGTTAAATATTTCTAGGTTATTTCAAGGTTATTTCAAGGTTATTTCAAACTCTTCAAAGTGGTGAAAAAAATTGTTTATAAATCTCATGATTTTGAACTTAAAATAGAGTTACTAAAAAAAATGATTTGAAATCTTTTAATATTGTCCAAAAATTTGATCTTCGCGAATTTTTTTCTCGAAAGTGGATAGGAATTCGGAGGTACGTCTGTTCACCAAATATTATTGTAATTGGTCCCCCTAGTTAAAAATAATTTTTTCAGAACGATTTGAAATTTTTCAATTTCGTCCAAAAATTTGACCACTTTATCGAATTTTTTTCTCCAAAATGGGTAGGAATTCGAGGGTACGCCTATTCATCAAAAACTATTCTAATCGAACCTCCTAGCTAAAAATAATTTTTTCAGAAACATTTGAAATTTTTTAATATTGTCCAAAAATTTGACCTTCGCGAATTTTTTTCTCGAAAGTGGATAGGAATTCGGAGGTACGTCTGTTCACCAAATATTATTGCAATTGGTCCCCCTAGTTAAAAATAATTTTTTCAGAACGATTTGAAATTTTTCAATTTCGTCCAAAAATTTGACCACTTTATCGAATTTTTTTCTCCAAAATGGGTAGGAATTCGAGGGTATGCCTATTCATCAAAAACTATTCTAATCGAACCTCCTAGCTAAAAATAATTTCTTCAGAACCATTTGAAATTTTTTAAAATTGTCCAAAAATTTGACCTTCGCGAATTTTTTTCTCGAAAGTGGATAGGAATTCGGAGGTACGTCTGTTCACCAAATATTATTGCAATTGGTCCCCCTAGTTAAAAATAATTTTTTCAGAACGATTTGAAATTTTTCAATTTCGTCCAAAAATTTGACCACTTTATCGAATTTTTTTCTCCAAAATGGGTAGGAATTCGAGGGTATGCCTATTCATCAAAAACTATTCTAATCGAACCTCCTAGCTAAAAATAATTTCTTCAGAACCATTTGAAATTTTTTAAAATTTTCCAAAAATTTGACCTTCGTGAATTTTTTTCTCGAAAGTGGATAGGAATACGGAGGTACGTCTGTTCACCAAATATTATTGTAATTGGTCCCCCTAGCTAAAAATAATTTTTTCAGAACGATTCTAAGATTTTCATTTTCGCCGAAAAATTTTAGCCAGCTACCTTGTCGATATTTCTTAAAAATTCGTTTTTGATTTTTAGTAATTTTGTTTGACGTCCTATAGAAAAGTTGTCTGATACTTTTTTGTAGGTACTCATGAGCTCTACGTGAGAAAAAAGTTTCATCGAAATGTATTCACTATTGTAGGAGTTACGGCTGTTTGAAAATTGGACCATTTTTATGAGGGTTTTCTCATTTTACGGTGTCAAGAAATAACTTTTCGAATATTTATGGAATTTCTACATTCTCTCCACCAAAATACCCATAATTGTCAAACATTTCGTAACTGCCAATAAAAATCGCTAGATAATCTTATTTCAAGATTTTAAAGAATATATTTCACTTACAATCGAATTTACTTATATCACAAACTAATGTTCACTTTTAGAGTGTATATTTCTAAATGAATTTATCACTTTCATGGATTAAAAAAATATCAAAAGAAACGTGAACTTTGGACACAAGACTTTGCATACACATTTTTCAAATTATATTCTTCAAGAAAATGTAAAAATTAATAAATAATTAAACATCGTTAGGGTGTATATTTCTAAATAAATTTAAATAAAACTTTATATCTCAATTCTACATTCTCGTTTCAAGATTTCCAAATATCATCGATTCTTATTATTTTTTTTCTATATTACTCTCGCAAATATTTTGAATAATCCTTTTTCTCGATCTTCGTCATAAGATCAAACTAATCAATTCCACATTTAAATCACATTGATAAGTTGCAACGAATATATTTATGAAAATGTTGCATCGTTTAAATAACTATTACCATCGATTAGAATCGTATTAAAGTGATACGTTTGAAAGTATCGTGACGTGTTCGTCTCTGTTATTTATGAATGATTTCGAAGTAGGTGGCTGACAGGAACAATGAGTCGGGTGCTATGAATTTTAAACGAGTGTTTTAATTATTCGGTGTCTTTGAAACTTACGAAGTTGGGTAACTATTTTAAATGTAGATTTTCGACGCGATACTTGGCTGGTTTTCGTTTACGTGATCAACAATTATTTGCAATAATACATACGAGACACAATGTTTGTTTTTTAAGTAGCTCTGTATAGATCGTTAATTCACAGTGTAAAATATACCGAGGAAAATTGTTGCATAACTTCGTAAGTATAACAGTACACGTGACACACACTTGCAAGTCATACCTTTCAAATTTTTTCGAATTATTAATATACCAGATATCCCATTAATGGAGGGAAAAAGAAATGCAACGAACAATTAAATTTACAGTATTAAATTTAAAATGACTGATTCGATATAACGAATAAAACTCCAAAATGTACGTAGATATCAAGTTTTAGTAATATATTTCAAGGAGAAATACTTTTTATACATATTTTTAGAGAACATATTCGCAATATTAAATCTGTCGTATCCAATTTGATATTTTCGACTCTAAGTTCGTTATTGGCGACCCCAAAAATTCATACGACATAGAATTAAGGAAGAATCATATTTTATCCATTTTTATAGTTTTTGAAGGCCTACATATAGATAGTGAAAGATTGTAAAAAAAATGTGTGTCATTATTTGGGAATAACGATAACGATAACAGCCAATCGTTCTTAATATTCCATTTAAAAAACTGAAAATGATCTTCAAATCTCGATAAAAAATTGATTAATATCGCGTAAATTTTCGTTGATCACGATGTTGAAAATTTGATATAAAATGTCAAAACAATTTACTTACAAACAAAAATAAAAACTATTCCATTATAACGTTAAAACTTTTAATTCCTATGTGATACAATTTGCATGCATTTGTATGTCTGAAATTATTTTTTATGAAAGATGCACATTTTTGGTAATAGTAACACCAATCAACACCAAGTGATTCATCGAAGATACTCCAAATTTGGAATTGGCATTTGAGATAAGGCTGTGTGCAAAATTTTTATTTTCCAACATCGTTCGAAACAAACAAATATTCTATTAACGAGTGCTGCACAAAATCGTGTGATTATGGATTATTTCGTTTTGAATTTCCAGCATACAATGTTATTTTAGGGTCATTTAACATCACGACTTTCTTACAGTGTACGTAAAATGATTTTTTTAATATTCACTTCGATTCTTATTGTCTGTTTTCTGAGAAAAATACGTAGTTTGTTTTGCCTATCACGACTGGTCCATCCGACCGGTTGAACGATTTACATTTTTTCGTAAAAAACCGGACAAAATTTGGTATCGAATCATGGTTAGCTTTCGATGTAAATAAAAAATATATAGCAAAGATGAAAGCAGAGAATCTTCAGTTTCCACCGTCTTAAAACAGTCCAAGAACGCGTATTAAAATAGCAAAACTTTAGACCCGTGCTGTTCCGAAACTATTAGTATTTTCTCAATAATTAAGCCACCGTTAGAAGTGGCAAGGCCTCCCCTTTAAAATGGTTTTTGGTTTCCGTCGATACGGCTTTCCGTTTCGGAGATATCGCAATTTAAGCGAAAGCAACCCCGTAACCGAGTCGCGTATTTCGAACACGCACGGGTCAATGACCTCGCGACGTAAACAGTGAAATGTAAACAAACGCTTCGAATCCTCATATCTCCGGAACTAATTACACTATCCACTCGAACGAACGCTCATTTTAAAGGGCATTTCATCCTCTATACGATGAATACACCACCTACTATAATTCATGCCATCTTCTATGTTTATTTCGATGTTTACTTTGGTGCTACATACCCAAAGTAGTTTTACCACTTCCTATTGATCGTACGACTTAATGTGCAATAAAACTGGATTATGAATTGTTTAGCTAATTGAAAATGCATTTTAAGTTGTATACAAAAGGTTTGCAAGTTTCTGAGGCTACTAATCCTCAATCAGGGATTTTGTATTCGTAAAAAAAATTAGTAAATAATAGATGTTTATTATTGATGGAATATTGTGGTTGGAAATTGGTTAATTTTGAAGTGAAATGCTCTTTGGTATATTTGGTGAAACCTAATGTTATGACGTAAGTTTCTAAGGCTACTAATCCTCATCAGGGTTAGAAATTTAATAAAAATAGTTGTAACGAGCAAACTAAAATTATTCTGTAAATTATTTGTTATAAATTGAATATATATTAATCTATAATTTATTTTTTTCTCTTTCATGGTATTTATACTACTGAAAATCAGGTTCTGTGAATATGAGAAGAATCTTTCTCAAATAATATTCCAAATTCGAATGGTGTGAATGTATTATATTGTAAATAGAATTTAAGTGAAATTTGGGCCTCACCTGCATGTAAAAAGCTTCTCCCCTTGTAATAACGAAGCTACTTGCTCTGTCGTCAGTCTGCAGGGCGAAGAGGCTCGCTGCTACAATGGCCAACGACGCTGAAAAGAAAAATTTTCAAAATTTATATACAAATTTTTGATAAAAAAAGGAAATCTTCATCGAAAGAGAATTTAAATTAAACTTCTAAAAAGCAATTATTTTTCGACCCTCTAAGGGCTCTTCTAGCTTTTTCTAGGAAATAAAACGAAGGATCAATGATTACAGTAATATAGAATTGCATTTCATGAAATTGTTCAAACCTCTCCAGTTATGGAAACAATGCAATGCAATTTCTTCTGGAAAGATAATTTTGAGAATTGCGCGGAATTTTGTTTAAAAATTTTGTTCTATTATTAATACGATTGGCTGGAATAATTCTGGTTGAATTATTCTGTGGGGTTATTTTTATCGTGTGGTATGCCTGGTGAGTGAGTGGGGTATGAATGAGAACGGGTGTTGGCAGCGCTGGGTGCGCGAGAGTGACGGCGCGGTGGTCCCTTGTACAGAGGAGAGCGTGATGCGCGAGAGTGACGGCGCAGAGGTCCCTTGTATAGAGAGCGTGATGCGCGAGGGGGGCTGCGCGGAGGTCCCTTGTATAGAGAGCGTGATGCGCGAGGGGGGCTGCGCGGAGGTCCCTTGTATAGAGAGCGTGATGCGCGAGAGGGACTGCGCGGAGGTCCCTTGTACAGAGGAGAGCGTGATGCGCCAGAGTGACTGCGCGGAGGTCCCTTGTAGAGAGCGTGATGCGCGAGAGTGACGGCGCGGAGGTCCCTTGTACAGAGAGCGTGATGCCCACGTGGGGAGAATATTGCGTTAAAATATATATACACGTTATATTATTAAATAAAAAGGGATGAAAAGTCATTTATTTGACAACATAATTCCTGCCACGGATTCCACGAGATTAGACGGTATCGTTTAACGCAACTGGATCCACCGCAGACATTCGATTCTTCTGAGGGTAAGTAGGCCACTAAGTAGACAAGTGTCTAAGTAATCCTATCGCGAACGATTGCAAAACTTTCAGGCTGTCCTGGAGCAAAATTACTTCCACGCTTCGAATGAGCTCCGGGAGTTCTCACGCGTCGAAAATACTTTAAATTCGTCTTCTTTTCTAACAAACAAGCTAGAGTCGAAATCACAGTAAAACCGAATCAAGAATGATTCTTTATGAAAACAGGAGTCACAAGCGTGGTTAAATCTCGTTATTAATTGAATTAAAAGAAGATACTTGTAGAAAAGAGTGAAGTTGTGCTTGAACTATGCTAGAATTTGAGTGTTTAGGTATTGGTGACACAGTGTTTGGGTGCAGTGTTTGAGACCATGCTCTTATATAAATTCATATTTTGTTCGTTTTGCGTCTAAGTTTGTTATTTTATATCCTGACCTCATCAACAAGTTTTTAAAGAATCGTCTATATTTTCAATCTGTTACTGATAGATTATAACAAAATTTGTTCGAAAAAGTGCAGGTTTTGAACGCAGTTTGAGCGTCGTGCGCAATGTGTTAACAAATTATCGTCGATTAGCGAATGAATTACGTTAGTTTTCATGGGAATACTCACTGGCCAAGGTAGCAAGGGCCACTTTTCCTATCAGAGCCGTGCTGTACGAGATGATGACTCGTTTCGCCGAGGAAGCCATCGCTAGTTGTAACACAGCAAGACCGACCAGGATCGCCAAAAGCGCGGAGGCGGTCGCTGCGGCTAATCCTGCCACCCACACAGCCACTGCAGAGAAAACAAGAAAAGAAAAATGTTTATTTCACGCTTCATTTCACTGTTTACTACGGCCAACAAACTGGGGATAAAAATAAATACCGAAAGCTTCGCGTAATATATAAACAGGGTGATTTGCATCTGTCGAGGGTGTTATCATAATTTGATGGAAAAATACTCTTCGTTTCGTAAAATACACAGTTTTACAAAACCAATTTATGACCAGACGATCGTCCTGACATATATATCCGCGACAATGCAATTCTCTCGCGAGAAAGCGCTCGAGAAGCTACGCCACCTGGCGGTGACATCGCAGTACTGCCACGGGCGAGGTATCGCGCGGGCCGTTAACGCGTATGCGCGCGCATGTAGACTGCCGTATACAGGGGTCGCGTGGTCCGCCAAACAGTCGTGCGCATGAAATCTTTGCACATAAATTACATGTTAATAACGCGCTTCTGAGACATGCTACATAGCCTATGTCCGTCCTAGAGTATGCAGGAATAACGTGTCAAAATTTGAGGAAGATCGGTTCAATAGGTCTTGAGTTTTGCGCGAACATAAAAATCGGCTCTCTCTTTATATAATAGTATAGATATAGTTGCATATTGAGCGTATTACGTAGTTTCTTGAAAATTAAAATTTCCCATTTCTTATACAGGGAGGATAAAAAAATTTTAACGGGAGATTCTAGGGGCCAAAACAAGACGAAAATGAAGAATATCAATTTCTTGATTGAGGCTTCGTTAAAAAGTTAGGGAAATATTTCCGGACACAGAATATATTTTCGGTAAAGAATTTTTTTCTCGAAAGTGCGTAGGATTTCGGCGGAGTATCTATTCACAAAAAATGATTGCAATCTCCCCCCACAGCTAAAAATAATTTTTTCAAAACGATTCGAAAATTTTTGTTTCGCTGAAAAATTTCGACACCTACCCTATATGTTTTTCATTTTTAGTAATTTTCTTTGACGCTCTAGAGAAAAGTTGTCTAATACTTTTTTGTAGGCATCCGTGAGCTCTATAGCAGAGAAAAGTTTCATTGAAATGTATTCACTGTTGTAGGAGTTATGGCCGTTTGAGAATTGGACCATTTATATGGGGGTTTTCTCATTTTACGGTGTCAAGGAATAACTTTTCGAATATTTATGGAATTTCTACATTCTCTCCGCCAAAATACGCGTCGTTTGCATTTTGAAAAATTAAAATCGTCCAATCCGTTCAGGAGTTATGACATTTTGAAGATTCGCATGAAATTTCAGGAAAGCCTCGCATTAGATTTTCGGTAAAGAATTTTTTTCCCAAAAGTGCGTACGATTTCGGGGGTATATCTATCCACCAAAAATTCTTGTAATTGACCCTTGTAACTAAAAATAATTTTTTTAGAATGATTTGAAGTTTTTTAATTTTGTCGAAAAATTTCATACCTTCTCGAATTTTTTTCTGCAAAGTGAGTAGGATTTCAGGGATATGTCTATTCACCAAAAATGCTTGTAATTGACCCCTCTAACTAAATATAATTTTTTTAATACGATGTGAAATTTTTTAATATCGTCTAATAATTTCACACATTCTCGAATTTTTTTCTCGAAAGTGGGTAGGATTTCAGGGATATGTCAATTCACCAAAAATGCTTGTAATTGACCCCTCTAACTAAATATAATTTTTTTAATACGATGTGAAATTTTTTAATATCGTCTAATAATTTCACACATTCTCGAATTTTGTTCTCGAAAGTGGGTAGGATTTCGAGGATGTGTCTAATGACCAAAAATAATTGTAATTGATCCTCGCAACTGAAAATAATTTTTCCAGAAAGATTTGAAATTTTTTTTTTAGTTAGGCACCTACCCCTTTGTCGATTATTCCTGAAAATTCGTTTTTGATTTTTAGTAATTTTGTTTGACGCCCTAGAGAAAAGTTGTTTAATACTTTTTTGTAGGTATTCGTGGGCTCTACTTCCTCTAAAAATTTCAATGAGATACCTTTACTATTGTAGGAGTTATGGCCGTTTGAAAATTGGACCATTTTTATGGGGGTTTTCTCATTTTACGGTGTCAAGGAATAACTTTTCGAATATTTATGGAATTTCTACATTCTCTCCGCCAAAATACGCGTCGTTTGCATTTTGAAAAATTAAAATCGTCCAATCCGTTCAGGAGTTATGACATTTTGAAGATTCGCATGAAATTTCAGGAAAGCCTCGCATTAGATTTTCGGTAAAGAATTTTTTTCTCAAAAGTGCGTAGGATTTCGGGGGTATATCTATGCACCAAAAATTCTTGTAATTGACCCTTGTAACTAAAAATAATTTTTTTAGAATGATTTGAAGTTTTTTAATTTTGTCGAAAAATTTCATACCTTCTCGAATTTTTTTCTGCAAAGTGAGTAGGATTTCGGGGGCATGTCTATTCACCAAAAGTAATTGTAATCAACCCTCGTAATTGGAAATAATTTTTTTGGAATGATTTGAAATTTTTTAATTTTCTCGAAAAATTTCATACCTTCTCGAATTTTTTTCTGCAAAGTGAGTAGGATTTCGGGGGAATGTCTATTCACCAGAAGTAATTGGACTTAGTAAACTGAGTAAACTGGATTCTCAGTTCTTCGTTCTGAAGACCGATTCTTCCTTGAAATCGTAAATACGTGGCCACACGCGACCCTCGAACACGTTTTCCATGCAGCTCATTGCAAAATCAATTTATGACCATACGATCGTTCTGACATATATATCCGCGATGATGCAATTCTCTCGCGTGAAAGCGCTCGAGAAGCTTCGCCACCTGGCGGTGACATCGCAGTACTGCTACGGGGCAAGGTATCGCGCGGACCGTTAACGCGTATGCGCGCGCATGTAGACTGTCGTATACAGGGGTCGCGTGGTCCGCCAAACAGTCGTGCGCATGAAATCTTTGCACATAAATTACATGTTAATAACGCGCTTCTGAGACATGCTACATAGCCTATGTCCGTCCTAGAGTATGCAGAAATAACGTGTCAAAATTTGAGGAAGATAGGTTCGATAGGTCTTGAGTTTTGCGCGAACATAAAAATCGGCTCTCTCTTTATATAATAGTATAGATATATTAGACAAACCCAGACGCTGCGATTTCGGAGACTCAGGGTTTTCGGTTTTTAGTTCGATCGTTTTATTGGGGGAGTTTTTTTTACTTCAACAGTATAGTAATCGATCAAATATTTGAAATCAACTCACACACTGGTTGAAACCTGGAAACGCCTTGGCCGCATCTCTCGCGACCGTATAACAGAAGCTTGCACTGTCTCCACGGGCCAAAGTATCCCTTTTCGGCTGCTGAACCAGCTGAAACATACAAAAATCACCCATTTTGTAATTTAATAGCGTCGATACTCCGCAAAGATATAGATTAAGATATAGAAAATTGACCAGCCATATCTTAAGAAACGCAGAATCATTGCTGGTTCATTATTTTTCTACAAAATTATTAACAGCATATTAAATACTATATATTGGAAATTTTGTACATAATCGTACATTATTAAGTAAATATAAACCCACTGGAATAGAGAATTCTAACGAATACTGTAACGATATCGAGTTGTACAATCCTTGTGATTCAATTAAACTGGTTTCAATCACTACATATATCTAGACTGCGGATGTTTATGCACTATATTCTGATTTTATATAAAATTCATTTAATATGCAAAAATATAAGAGATACTTAATATTCAGAACTTCAGACAGAGTTCTATAAAGCTCCGATTTCATTAATTCTATCAATAAAAATGTGAATTTGCATAAAGATCCGCAGTCTACATATATCTAATTTCTCCATCATTTTATCGCCATATCTTCGTTTCATATTATTTCTTCTGAATTGAAGACAAAAATAACACTAAGAGATCCTCCAAACGTCAAATTATTTTCACACGTCGACCATTTCTCACCCCAACGTGTAAAAAACTATAAACAAATATACTTCCCTCCGATTTTCTGATAATTTCATCGAAGTTTTATCGAACACAACTTTTTGGAACGATAAATCCAACAAGAGGCGACTCGTGGCGTGAAAAAAGGGTTCCCCAAGGGAAGGAAACGGGAATAACCTTCGATTTCCGGCTCAAGAGATCTCGAGAACCTGGACAACCGGAAACCACAATTTAACGAAGCTCGTTTCGCCGTTCAAACGACCCATAAAGTCTCTTTTCACCCTTTTCTCCCCTTTTCCTGCGAGGGCGTAGGAAGAGGAAAGCAGAAAATGGAATTCGATACGATAACAGGAACATAAGAAAAGCTTCAAAGGGTTGCACTTCAAAGGGAGCTTGGTAAATATCTACTTATCGTTACTTCGACTTTATTTCACGATTTTAAAAACGATTTCAACGACAGGAGGGACTCACACAATTTTGCAATTGAATATCTCGATATTTCATCGATTCTAACGATATAGATCTCGAAGATTCGAAGATTCAAAGAGCCCTCAAATTGGAATGGAAATCTCTCAGCGTTAACAATGAGATATTGATGATTAATGATAATTTTGATAGAATTTTTCTCTCTGAAATTGTCGTTTCTCGTGCTTTTCGATACATCGTTGTGTTATTCGCTTTGTTACAGGCAAACTTAGTAATTGTTAGATTGTTGGATACATATACAGGGTGTTCGGCCACCCCTGGGAAAAATTTTAATGGCGGATTCTAGAGGCCAAAATAAGACAAAAATCAAGAATACCAATTTGTTGATGGATGCTTCGTTAAAAAGTTATTAACGTTTAAAGTGCCGCCCTTGCTGAATTTTTTTTCTCGAAAATGCGCAAGATTTCGGGGGTAGGTCTATTCGCCAAAAATGTCTGTAATCGAACCCTACAACCGAAAATAATTTTTCCACAACGATTTGCAATTTTTTAATTTTCTCGAATAATTTCACACCTTCTCTATTTTTTTTCTCGAAAGTGGGCAGGATTTCGTGGGCGTGTCTAATGACAAAAACTGATTGTAATTGACCCCCGCGACCGAAAATAATTTTTCCACAACGATTTGCAATTTTTTTTCTCCGTTGTAAAAATTTAGGCACCTAATTGGATTTTCGGTAAGGAATTTTTTTCTCGAAAGTGCGTACGATTTCGGAGGTATGTGTAATGATAAAAAATGATTGCAATTGATCCCCGCGACCGAAAATAATTTTTTTAGAACGATTTGAAAAATTCTTTTTCGCCGAAAAATTTCACCACCTACTCGATTTTTTTTCTCGAAAGTAGATAGGATTTCGGAGGTACGTGTACTCGCCAAAAATGATTGTAGTTGACCCCCGCAACCGAAAATAATTTTTCTAGAATTATTTGAAATTTTTCAATTTTGTCGAAAAATTTCACATATTCTCGAATTTTTTTCTGGATAATGGGTTGGAATTCGGGGGTATGTCTATTCACCAAAAATTATTGTAATTGACCCCCGCAACCGAAAATAATTTTTCTAGATCGATTTGGAAAATTTTAATTTTGTCGAAAAATGTCATACCTTCTCGAATTTTTTTCTCGATTATGCGTAGGAATTCGGGGGTATGTCTATTCACCAAAAATTATTGTAATTGACCCATGTAACTAAAAATATTTTTTTCAGAATGATTTGAAATTTTTTAGTTTTGTCGAAAAATTTCACACTTTCTCGAATTTTTTTTTCGAAAGTTGGTAAGAATTCGAGGGTATGTCTAATGACCAAAAATGACTATAAGCGACTACTGTAATCGAAAATAATTTTTCTAGAGTGATTTTAACTTTTCAATTTCACCGAAAAATTTAGACTGTCGATTTTTCTTAAAAATTGGTTTTTGATTTTTAGTAATATTGTTTGACGCCCTACGGAAATTTTGACTAATACTTTTTTATAGGTACCTATGGGCTTAACTTCAGAAAAAAGTTTTATCAAAATATATTCACTATTGTAGGGGTTATGGCTGTTCGAAAATTGGACCATTTTTATGAGGGTTTTTCTAATTTTACGAGGTCAAAGAACAACTTTTTCAATATTGTTAGAATTTGTACATATTCTTCACTAAGATACACGTTGTTTGCCGTTTGAAACATTAAAATCGTCCAATCCGTTCAGAAGTTATGATTTTTTAAAGATTCGCTGAAGTGACATTCCTGGCCATAGAATATATTTTCAGTAAGGAATTTTTTTCTCGTAAGTGCGTAGGAATTCGGGGGTATGTCTATTCACCAAAAATTATTGTAATTGACCCCCGCAACCGAAAATAATTTTTCTAGATCGATTTGGAAAATTTTAATTTTGTCGAAAAATGTCATACCTTCTCGAATTTTTTTTCTCGATTATGCGTAGGATTTCGGGGGTATGTCTATTCACCAAAAATTATTGTAATTGACCCATGTAACTAAAAATATTTTTTTCAGAATGATTTGAAATTTTTTAGTTTTGTCGAAAAATTTCACACTTTCTCGAATTTTTTTTTCGAAAGTTGGTAAGAATTCGAGGGTATGTCTAATGACCAAAAATGACTATAAGCGACTACTGTAATCGAAAATAATTTTTCTAGAGTGATTTTAACTTTTCAATTTCACCGAAAAATTTAGACTGTCGATTTTTCTTAAAAATTGGTTTTTGATTTTTAGTAATATTGTTTGACGCCCTACGGAAATTTTGACTAATACTTTTTTATAGGTACCTATGGGCTTAACTTCAGAAAAAAGTTTTATCAAAATATATTCACTATTGTAGGAGTTATGGCTGTCTGAATATTGGACCATTTTTATGAGGGTTTTTCTAATTTTACGAGGTCAAAGAACAACTTTTTCAATATTGTTAGAATTTGTACATATTCTTCACTAAGATACACGTTGTTTGCCGTTTGAAACATTAAAATCGTCCAATCCGTTCAGAAGTTATGATTTTTTAAAGATTCGCTGAAGTGACATTCCTGGCCATAGAATATATTTTCAGTAAGGAATTTTTTTCTCGTAAGCGCGTAGGAATTCGGGGGTATGTCTATTCACTAAAAATTATTGTAATTGACCCCCGCAACCGAAAATAATTTTTCTAGATCGATTTGGAAAATTTTAATTTTGTCGAAAAATGTCATACCTTCTCGAATTTTTTTTCTCGATTATGCGTAGGATTTCGGGGGTATGTCTATTCACCAAAAATTATTGTAATTGACCCATGTAACTAAAAATATTTTTTTCAGAATGATTTGAAATTTTTTAGTTTTGTCGAAAAATTTCACACTTTCTCGAATTTTTTTTTCGAAAGTTGGTAAGAATTCGAGGGTATGTCTAATGACCAAAAATGACTATAAGCGACTACTGTAATCGAAAATAATTTTTCTAGAGTGATTTTAACTTTTCAATTTCACCGAAAAATTTAGACTGTCGATTTTTCTTAAAAATTGGTTTTTGATTTTTAGTAATATTGTTTGACGCCCTACGGAAATTTTGACTAATACTTTTTTATAGGTACATATGGGCTTAACTTCAGAAAAAAGTTTTATCAAAATATATTCACTATTGTAGGAGTTATGGCTGTTCGAAAATTGGACCATTTTTATGAGGGTTTTTCTAATTTTACGAGGTCAAAGAACAACTTTTTCAATATTGTTAGAATTTGTACATATTCTTCACTAAGATACACGTTGTTTGCCGTTTGAAACATTAAAATCGTCCAATCCGTTCAGAAGTTATGATTTTTTAAAGATTCGCTGAAGTGACATTCCTGGCCATAGAATATATTTTCAGTAAGGAATTTTTTTCTCGAAAATGGTTAGGATTTCGAGGATATGTATATTGACTAAAAATGATTGTAGTTGACCCCCGCAACCGAAAATAATTTTTCCAGAACGATTTGAAATTATTGAATTTAATTGTTAATAACTTTTTAACGAAGCTTCCATCAACAAATTCGTATTCTTGATTTTCGTCTTATTTTGGCCTCTACTATCGCTCATTAAAATTTTTGCTAGAGGTGGCCGAACACCCTGTATACATACATATGCACATACGTATTTCCTGGAGCATTCAACAGAGATCATTAGCTATCCCACACGGGGATTCATCGATTAACGAGCAACGTTAAATGCTAATTTCAACATATATCGCGATCTATCAGCTCGTTCCCGGTTGATCGTCGATTATATTTCCACCGGTTGCCCGGATAACTGTGCAACAGCCACTATGTACCGTTGCACTCGCCCACGCGAATTACTAGACGAACCAGCATCTCCAATTATTTTTCCTTCAATTCCTACGGTCACCACGACGATCAAAGTCTCTCAAAGGATCGCGTGGCCGCCATTTTCTAATCTAATCGTCCAGCTCTCGCTACTTTGCT